GTGTGTGTGTGTGTGTGTGTGTGTGTGTGTATCTGTCTGTCTGTCACTGTGTGTGTGTGTGCGTGCGCGCGTTCGTGTGTTTGTGTATGTGTATGTGTGCGTATGTGTGTGTGCGCGTGTGTTTGTGTGTGTGTGCGCGCGCGTGCGTGCGTGCGCACGCGTGTGTGTTAGCGTTTGTGTGTGTGCGTGCGTGCGTGCGTGCGTGCGTGCGTGCGTGCACTTTTAAGAAACACCCGATTAGATAGATGTAACACGAGCGAGCGAAACTGGAGTGACGAAAGTCATGTCCGTAAAAGAGAGAGAGAGAGAGAGTGAGTGCGAAATGCAGAGAGATAGAGGGGGCGAGTAAGAGAGAAAGAGCGAGAGATTTCCCTTTCTCTCTCAGTGCCCCCTCTCTCTTTCGCTATCCGTTACCCCTATCTCTCTCGCTTGGTCGAACGCTCCGCTCTCTCTCACTCTCGTGTCATCCGAGTCTAGTGCAAATAGCAAGAAAAGTAATCACTACTGTTGACGCGTTCATATTTCTCTCCACGCTTCTTAATTTAGTCACACGCGTTGAGCTCGCGTCGCCCACACCGAACCTGCTTCCGAACCTGTTCGAAACCGTTCGCCTGCACCGAACACTGCTTCCTGCTACACTTCCACCAAGAGCCAGACCCCTCCGCGTAGAAAGGAACAGTCCATTTCCAGCTATAGTTGCTACACATACAACCGGTATCTGGCTACACGGTAGCGGTCGTGTATTCGGGAAGCGTGTGGCCGGTAAACGAAACAGAGCTGTCAGTTTCTCTGTTGCTCATCACGAGCAACCCCGCCTTCTATATGTGCAGTACAGTCCATCTACCACTCCGATCGGCTACCAGTCACCGGTGCGCGCGAACCCTGGCCGTTAGCTTGCCACACGCACATTCACGTGTATTCACTCTCGCACATACGCACGCACGCGTCAAGGTCGCAGGGTGACGCTTGCGAGGTGGTGCTGCTTGCGATATTACGTTATGTCGACAGACTCCCTATCATCTGTAGTCCACCTATTGTAGGATGCAGTGTTCATCGGTACGTTAAACTCGCCTCACGCCCGCCCGCCCACACACACACACACACACACACACACACACACACGCGCGCGCGCGCACACGCACACACACACGCACACGCACACGCACACGCACACACACGCACACACACACACACNATCAGACTCCCTAATCATCTGTAGTCCACCCTATCTGTGAAGGATGGCAGTGTTCATCGGTAACGTTAAACTCGCTCACGCCCGCCGCCCTACATCCACACACACCACCACGCGTCCCACACACACACCACAGCACGGCGCGCCGCCCAGCGCGCACCGCAGCACACAACACGCGCACACGCACCACGCAGCACGCACACACACGCGCGCGCCACAGCACAACACACAGGTCACCCGCGCCGCACGTACACACACACGCACACTGGCACGGCATGCTCTGCACCGGGATTTCTCCGCCCGCGCAGAAGCTGTGACCTTCAAAGCTCTTCTCCTGCCGGTTTGAACTTCTCTCATCCTAACAAACACTCTGTCACACCGCTGACGTGCGCAGCACTCATACATCGCCGCTCTGAAGGCACACCACTAACAACCCTAGCAGGTAAAAAAACACAGATAGACGACGAACAAGACCCGACAGAGCCGAGAGAGAGAGAGGGGGGGGGGAAGAAAGCACGAGTGGCACGCGAGTGTGTGTGTGCGGCGCGTGTGGCGTGGGAGAGAAGTTGTACGTAGCTGGTCGCAAAACGACTGCTTTTGTTTTCCCGCTACCTACTGGACAAACCGTCATCAATTACGCAGAAACACAGCCGTAGAAGAGATAGAGATACGAGAGAGAGAGAGAGAGAGAAGAAAGAGAGAGAGGAAGAGCAGAGAGGAGAGAGACAAGAGAGAGAGAGAGAGAGAGAGCGAGAGAGAGAGAGAGAGAGAGAGAGAGAGAGAGAGCGAGCGACGGGCGAGAGAGAGAGAGAGAGAGAGAAGAGAGAAGAGAGAGAGTAGAGAGAGCGAGCGAAGAGAGGAGAGGAGAGAGAGAGAGAGAGAGAGAGAGAGAGAGAGAGAGAGAGAGAGAGAGAGAGAGAGAGAGAGAGAGAGAGAAGAGAGAGAGAGAGAGAGAGAGAGAGAGAGAGAGAGAGAGAGCGAGCGAGAGAGAGAGAGAGAGAGAGATGAGGAGAGAGCCGAACGCGAGAGAGAGAGACCGAGAGAGAGAGAGAGAGAGCAGAGAGAGAGAGAGCGAGCGAGAGCGAGCGAGTGCGAGCGCAAGAGAGAGAGAGAGCAGAGACGAGAGAGAGAGAGAAGAGAGAAGAGAGAGAGAGAGAGAGAGAGAGAGAGAGAGCGAGCGAGAGAGCAGGTGGAAAGAAGCGAAGCGATTGGATGGATGGGATGGATGGATGGATAGATAGAGAGAGAGATAGAACGAGAGGCAAAGAAAAGAGATAGATAGATGGATAGATAGATAGATAGATTAAATAGAGAGATAGACAAAGAGAGGGGGGAGATAGACAGAAGAGTGAGAGTGAGAGTGAGAGAGAGAGAGAGAGACGAGAGAGATACACGAGATAGAGACTAGAGATAGAGATAGAGATAGAGATAGAGATAGAGATACAGAAATTAGACGATCAGAGAATAGAGATAGAGATAGAGATAGAGATAGAGATAGAGATAGCGATAGCGATAGAGATAGAGATAGAGGATAGAGTAGAGATAAGATAGCTAGATAGATAGATAGATAATAGATAGAATAGATAGACCAGATAGATAGATAAATAGATTTAACAGATAGATAGATAGATTAGATAGATAGCAAATAAATATGATAGATAGAAGAGGGAGAGAGGTGAGATAGAACGAGAGGCAGAAAGAAAGAAAGAGAGAAGCGGAGAGAGATGAGAGAGAGAAGAGAGAGAGAGAGAGAGAGAGAGAGAGAAGAGAGACGAGAGAGAGAGAGAGAGAGAGAGAGAGAGAGAGAGAGAGAGAAAGAGCACAAGAGCCAGAAAGAGAGGGGGAGAGGGAAAGGGAGAGAGCGAAAGAGAAAGAAAGAAAGAAAGAAAGAGGGAGGGGAGAGGGACAGACGGAGATTTTCAGATATCAAAATTTCAGCGCTGCGATGAGGAAGTGAAACGGGGTCTAGATTAGATTCTGTCGAAGTGCTGTACACACACGGTCTATAACTAAGCGTAGATAAGACTATACACTTGGCCTCTATCGGAATTCCTTTATTGCGCCAAACACCGGTGTGTCTGCGTTTAGCGGCTGAAAGGGTGCGAGTGAGCGCGTGTTACGCCGTATCCACACACGGGCGACCTATTCCATCGTCAGCCACGGCTTCTGAGAAAGTGCACTTGTCACAATGTCAACATTTGCCCAGGGAGATGGCAGCGCCGTATAAGGCAGCTGTACCTGCTACAGGTACGGGGTTGTATATTACTCATGCGGTTGATGTCAGAAGCAGGGCAAGCGATAGGAGCGGATAGCGGCGGGTAGGCGGAGAGTAGAAACGACGTGAATAGGAAGAACGGAAGAAGAGTAGTAGTAATGCAGTCGGGGGAAGGGAGTGATGAAACGAGGGTGACGTGGGGAAGGGAGAGACGAAACGATTGAGATAACTGGAGGATAGAAGTAAGGAGAAAGTAACGGGGGGGGGGGAGTAACGAGTGATGGAGATATGAGAAAGGAGAGAAAGAATGCTAGTGGTGGAAAAAGAGAGAGGAGAATAGAGAGGAGAATAGAGAGGAAGAAGGAGAGAGAGAGAGAAAGAGAGAGATAGAGAGAGAGAGAGAGAGAGAGAGAGAGAGAGAGAGAGAGAGAGAGAGAGAGAGAGAGAGAGAGAGAGAGAGAGAGAGAGAGAGAGAGAGAGAGAGAGAGAGAGAGAGAGACGAGAAAGCGAGAAATGATAGGTAGAGGATGTAAGAATGAAAAGACAAAAACGCCGGGTAGAAACGGAATGGAGATTAGGCACACGAGAAGCGGGAAAAACAAAGATGGGAATTGAAGAAGGATAGCGATTACAGAGATGAGGAGTGAGGCGGCAGTGAAACGATGCCGCCGACCCTCTAAATACTGCGGTATGTGGGGGCAGTAATGGAGATATATAGCCCGCGGGAGGAGGGGGACGTGATGCTATCGTATAGGAGGGGACGGGGCTATACACATGAATGGGGACGGGGCTCTTACCTCCTGAGTTGGGGCCGTGGACTGTGCGCCCTGCATCTGGTGTGGTGGCAGGAGTGAGTTTGACGTCGTCTCGGAGTTGTGTACTGGCACTGTGACTGGCATCACGGTCGCGTACTGTTGCAGCTGCAGCTGTAGTAAACAGTAAACAATGTAAGTCGCATAAACACTCGCACGCCAACAGCCAAGCCCACCACGCATACACTCTCAGACGCCAGACACACGCAACACACACACGCAGGCGCGCAACACACATTACACCACCACGCATGCACAGCACGCACGAACACACGCATGCACGCACGTGTAGCAACACCACGGATGCACAAACGCAATGCATGCACGCACACATAAACACATGCATGCCACACACGCACACATACGGCATGCCACATGCACACCCGCACGCGGCACGCGCACACGCAACCGACGCCACACGCAGCGGACGCACACGCACCACGGCACACGCACGACT